TGCCATGTCCCTACCATAAAAGAGAACCATTATAGAAAAATTATTACTTATGTTTTGTTCATCAGTATACACATACAGGAATATGTTATCACTTATTTTCTAAATGTGTCCAATATTATATTAGTTTTCTTCATTGAAGAATTCAAGCCAAATGAACTAACATCCATTCAAAAATGCAAGAATAATTAGAGTGAAACTATGGCAAAAAAATATTCTCCCAAACTCAGAAGCTGACAGTCGACAATGGGGGAAATCTCTAAAATAACCATTAGACAAATAAACTTTGAAAGCTACAATCTCTATGTGCAAATAGTATATGTAAAGACATATGATGACTTGACATTATCAATAACCTATCAAGTATAAAATTAGACATTTTTAGTTTCAGGCTAAAATTTGCAATTGGAATAAAAAAATAAAAAATGACAATGTTATAGACACCATAATAAAAAAAATCAGACTGTATTTAACTAAGGCTTTATACAAGGGATTATAAGCATCACCTTAAAAACAACAGAAAATGAAATAATATTATGAAAAAAACATAAATGAACTAAAAATACTGTCACCTCCTCAGATAGAGATGGAGGAGGTGTGATTATTGACATTTCTAAAATGGGGTGGAAGAGAATAGACTCTGTTAAATTATACTTTAGTGTTTTTGGGAAAAAAAAGTGAAGACCATGAAATCAATAAGGAAACACACAAATTCAATAAATCAGTCAAGAAACTTTTAAAAAAAATATGAAGACAAAACAACCATCCAAATATGACTAGAATCTATGGTTTACCAAAAACACACAAACCAATATCAGTATCTTTTATATAAGCAGCATTCCTAACAAAGTACTAAAAGTCATATCTAAAATTTTAACACCTCTTTTAAGAGCAATCAGCCCTTCATACCTTAAAATTCTCATCAATAAACTGAAAAATATAAAAAAATAAATTTATGGTTGGCTTAGATATTAAACCTTTATATACAAATATATCACTTGAAAAATATTGACATTTTTTTAAACATCACCTCATAAAATAAAAGTAAACCTCTCCCTGCTAATCAATAAAGTCATAAAAATTTGTTGACCTTATATAAACCAATGTTTTTCACATTTGATAATAGTTTTTACAAAGAAAATTTGGCCAGCTTATGGTTCTCTTTGCAGTAGTGTATGGACATACTTCTTTTTAGAATTTTTAATATTCAGCTAATTTAAAAATATCTTACCCAAAAATGTCATATATACATTTTCTATATAAATGAATCCCTATTAATGGATTAATACAAAATTAAATTTCTAGGTTTCTAAATAAACTAAAAATTGAATCTACAATTGAATTCATACATAAAAAAGAAACAAATAACACCTTACATTTTCTTGATATTTTGTTAATTTGAACTGATAATCGGTTTAAATGTCTTTAAGTTGATGAATAAAAATGACCTCATAAATTTTATACATATCAAACAATAAGATAAAATATGAACTAATTATAGGTTTTCATTCAAGAGCCCTTGAATTTGCTACCCTGTCTGATGAAGAAAATAAACTGAAAATATTCTTAAAATCCTTCACTTAATTCAGCTCATAGCTATGTCAGACTGTGGACTTACTCATCTTCCCTTGTACACACAGGCACATACATATTTAAAAGTTAAAACCAAGGGTAAATTGCCTCTTATCTTTCCTACTGGAATTCAATCCCTTTCCTATAAAAATAAAAAAAATGAAAACCAATAAGTGTCTACTTTCTGCTTGTATATTTTTGAATGAGTGTCTATACCATCTGTCAAGTGTAAATGTATACTACAAAAACCTTATTTACAGTCTCTACTTTGGCTGAAATAGAGACGAAACCATGTTATTAACTTTAACCCTGGGGTTAGTGTATGAATGAAGTTTTGTACTGCACCTATCAAATAAGGAAAATAAAAAAAAAGTTTAACATTGAAAGCAAGAAACTAACCACTTAACAATGACATCAGTCTTTCATCTATCAACTATTAACCAGATAAAAGTCTGGCCCCCACCCCAAATCTAGTAAGCAAAGGAAAAAATATTATAGACATTATGCATATTGGTACTCTTATAGTTATGTTTATCTCATTTTTGTGTAGAACAAATAAGTGTTCAGTAAATAATTTTAATCTTTTCCAATTCAGTAAAGGAACAAATCTTTGGCATTTAATATTAGACTCCATTTGCTGGATATTCAAATTAAGTCTACTGGCTTTATCGCATACAGACTTTCCCCTTTATGATAGTCTGCAAATTTTTTTCACTCTTATCTTCTACTTTGCTTTCTTTAAACTTTGTTCTTTTTGTTATCACAATTTTTAAAATGAGACTTAACTAAGAAATTATTAATCTGAGAGTATTATTTTAAAGATGAGGTAAACAAATTTGGCTATTTTTCATTTATAATTTTTCATTTTATATTCCTGTTGGAAATGTTTGTATAGATATAAAATTTTCATTTCAAGGTAGTTTGCTATTGTAGCATTCAATAATTCCATTGTTTATCTTTTATAATGAAAAAATGATAGAAAAATTAAAAAAAGCTTATGTTAGAATTTTTGAGATGAGGAAATTTCATTATGATGATATGCCTTTTTTATTTGGATACATATACTAATCTGAATAGTAAGTACAATATATGAAATATTGTAAGTATAATAACTAAGATGAGTCTATATAGTATGCTCATCTTTATTGCGCATTATTATTATTATACTTACAATGTTTCATTTACTGCACTCTCTAATCTTGTTTAGTGATCTTCTTGGAAGAATTAACTGATACATAACATCCTCTTAGCATGGAAAGGGGAATCGGAATAATCTACCTCCTTGAATAGAATAAAGTGTTCAATTCCACAGAGGTTACTAAGAAGAAGGGGAGAAAGTACAATGTTGTAAGTATAACAACCAATATAAATAGAAATGTGTGTAATAATGAACACAACACTTTTCAATAATATTGGCACTGGCTAGATCACTTTTTTGCAGAAAAATGCTAAAATAAGATACCTGATTTGTGCATGAAAAGTTAGGCACATTTATAAAATGTAGGTTTATCATTTAGTTGGATTTTTTTTTTTTTTGCAACAGTCCTACAGAAGTAAACAAAAAATACAAAGGAAAGAGTGTAGGAAGAAATGTTAATCATTTTTAATAACTCTTAAAAATGATTTCATAAAGCATTATTGATTTATTAATGTAATATTGGATTTTCTATAGAAAGTTAAACACTTAAAGCTGTTAAAATTAATCTGATCTGAACAAACCAAAATGAACTTCTATATTGAAAGCTATGAATATAGAACACTCCTAAGATAGAAATATTTATTTAATTAATGGTGTTATTATTATTAGTACTGAATGTTCAACAATGGTATAAGGCACATATACTCAGATTTAAATTGTAGTATTGATGGTAATGTTTTTTTTTGTTTTTTTTTTTTTATGCAATTTTAAATGAAAAGAATAAAATAGTAACTTGCTATACAGGGGTAAGGATTTTCTTCAGTTTCTTTGTCAGAGAAGAGTGACAAGTTAATTTGTAGTCTTCACATTTTTAATATAAGCATGCATACTTGAGAAGATCAGGATTGGATAGAAGATAGCATTAATTTCAGCTATTATTTACATCAAATTATTTATTTTTTTGTTTTTGCTTCATTACTGTCAAGAATGCAACATCTGTCAGAAAAGTATGCAGCTATTTTGAATATCTTGAGAGCCATCTGTGCAGCCATGATGCAACTGCACAACCAATCAGAGAGAACCAAATTGCATATGCATGAAATAACATTCCCATCGGTTTACTCAGTCTGTAGTGAGATGCCATTCAGTGATCTTGTATGTTGTGAAATTGTGTAATTATCACATTCACAGAGTATATAGTAAATTTTACTTAATCTGTGGGAACTATTTTTTTTATTTAAAGTTTTTTGGGGAGAAACCTCAATGTGGAAAATTTAAATCTGTCCAGGAATTCAATGAAAGTAACCCACATTCCAGGATGCTTTCAGCAATCTGAACATCCACCATGCTGAGCATATTATGTGGAGTATAATTAAAAGAAATTGGTGATTAAAAGAAGATGTGGTGATTCTATGGACTGTTTGGAAAATATCCAGCCATTTTGAATATCGACTGCCAATTCTTCACACCTTGTGAAAAGTATTTTTTCTTTCTTTTTTTTTTTTTTTTTTTTTTATCGTAGTGGGAGGTAAATCATTATATCACCTTAGGTCTGCCATATATTTACTCTTACTTTTTTTAAATAAATCATTATTTTTTTCATTCTTATAATTGTACAGATTCAATTAACGTGAAACTGAAAAATGATTTTATTTATCCAGGTTTTAGTGAAAGTACTCATAATGATAAGACCAACTTTCATAAATGTTAGTAGCTTTAATAAGATCTATTGTTAAAAATGTTTTAGTAGAATGTGGCCTGTTGTTGCTTTAGTCAATATAACCTTGACTTTCATTGTTATGTTTTTGTTTTTTTCATTGATGATTGTTTTCTATAACATTACAAAGAATAGTTTTAAATATGCTTTTTATAACTTGGTAACAATAATCAACAAATTTCAATGGAGTTGATGTGCATTAATGAGATAATTTACAGGTGAAATTGATAGCACAATGAAGCAAATATTTTGTAAGGTTTATCATACAATATACAAAACAGTTTTTCATATATGAAGCATTAGTTATTGTCTGTTTTTTTTTTGTTTTTTTTCCTTCAATCAACCTCTTGCAGGTTACTGAAAGCCCCAAAATATTTTGAGATTGTAAGAATTTTTTGGAGATAATAGTGATTTACTGATAGAAGTGATACTAATTAACCCATAGCTGGGGGAAGTGGATTCATACCTTTCCCAAGGGTATTTGTGCATAAGTGAATATAGCAAACCCATTTGGAACTTGGCTCTCTGATCTTTAATTCCTAAACATTATCCATTGCACCACCTGGCACATCTAAGCTTACAGCACCTGATATTCCCAAATGATCACCCATCTAGATACTGACCAGGCTTGACATTGCTTAACTTTGGTGATCATATGAGAAGCAGTGTTATATGATATGGTCACAGTTATAATATTCAATTTCAAATATACTTTGTACATTTCAAATTTTGTTTTTAAAATATATACAAAATCTGAATTCTGCTCTGTTTCATATATTTTAACAGGTAGAGTGGATTTACACTGAAAATAAGGGAAATCTTTTTGGTTTCAATTTTTATACAATAATTCTCTCTATAAAATGTTTATGTTTAAGATTTTTATATAAGAGCATGACAAGTTAAAAAAATATTTCAGTGCCAAATTTAGGGAAAAATGTGACCATCCTATTCATTTAGAATTTGTGAACTATAATATATATATATATATATATATATATATATATATATATAGCTTATATTATTTTTATCTTTTGAGATATCCAGTATCATCGTTGTTAAAAGATTTCTTATTTTACAGAATGTAATTTTCTGTACAGTATATGATGCAAAGTAAGTGATAAGTAAATTTAAAGAAAAGAAATGGGAAACTGGATGTTAGTAATTTATTTGTATATTTCCACTATTTACATTTGGACTACTGTCCTCGTTTTTTGTTGTTGTTATTACAACATTTTGCCTGTTGTGCCCTCTGGCCTTCATCAGGTGTATATCAATCTTACCTGATGAAGGCCAGAGGGCACAATAGCTGAAACATTGTGATAACAACTACAAAGATAAGGACAACAGTTCAAATATAAATAGTGGAAATAATGATAACTCCTTATCTCAGAAATTCAAAAAGAAATTAAATATTTTCTTCTGACTATTTCTGATATCTTCAGATCCTCTCTAAAATGTATATATTTCCTTACAGGTCAGATCTTAAACAATAGACAATTGTCTTAAGTGTTTATCTCTCTGAATGTCTGACAGATCAGTTAACACAAAACCTCTGCTGATCTTTGTGCATTTATAAAGGTGTATGCTTTTTTTTCTTATTGGCTGTGAGATGGTATTGGATGTAATATTTTTTCTTTTCCCTTATGCTAATGTTTTCAACTTTGTATTAATTTAACATTAAATTACATCACTTAGCATCCTCCATAATTTACCTTGACTTTCAGTTAGCCTGAAGTATATTTCTTAGTTTTAAAAACTCTGAAAAACTAAATGATATTTTTTTTTACTTCTGTGTATAAATACTTGTTGTAAAATAAAATCCTTACATTTGCCTTAATAATGTCCATCAGCCATGTCAGTTTTTTATTTGGCCTTTATTCATTATAATTTTTCATTATTGTTGTTTTCTTTTTCTCACACTTCCATATAGATCACCAAATACCATCTTTCTGCACATTAAGCTTAAATCATTAAGCAAAATGAATTTTTTTTCCATATATATATATATATATATATAAGTACATATTGATAAAATAAGTATTGAGTTCATAAATATATCCATTATTGAATTTTTGCCTATTATAATTATGATGACTAATTTTCATTTTAAAAGTATTTGTAAACATTATATTTAATGAAAAAGTTATGAAATATTGATAAATGTTATTGATAAATATTAAATTAAGTCTGTACTGAAACTTTCTTATAAGATTTTCATTTATATTTATTATCAGCTTTTATCATTTTAATGTGGTTTTATTTTGTTTTAAATGTATTTATGAGGTGGGTAAAAAGAAGTCATATTCTATGAGGCAAATGAGTAAAGTATAATTCTAAAAAATATATTCACCTTTTTGCAGTATTGTGTATTTTGTTATATTTGATATTTTTGTGTTGTGAACAGTCTTTGTTCCTTGATGCACCTCTAAATTATATATTTGAGATGTTCAATACAGTAAAACAATAGCTGCAAAAGAACTTAATTTTATTCATTCATCTAATATAGAATGTTAAGTCTGTTTCCATTTTAAACCTAGAAACAGTATTAAACAACATTTACCGGCCTGAATGTCCAAGAAATTTTCACAGAAAATATATGTCCGTTGTTCTTGAAAAGGACCTTAGTGGTTAACTGTGGAAAGAAATGGCTTGTAAGTTTTAATGCCTCCAAAACAATACTACATTCATTTAAGAGAAACTTTGCTGCTTACCATCAGCATTGCTGATGCTAAGCTCTTGGAAACAATGGACTATGCTTTCTTGGCTTCAGGTTTTCCACTGACAAAATGGAGCAACTCTATCAACTCAGTTGCTTCATCTACTGCAAAAAAGTTGGGTCACTGTGTTATGCCAGAAAATTTTTCTCACCAGAATCCATCTTGCACATTTATAAATCTACCAGTCATCCATCCATTGAATATTGTTGCCAGCTCCTACTGTACATTTAGAGATTCTTGACAAAATCCAAAGAAGTGTCTTGTAGTCTATCCTAACTTGTAGTCACTTTCTCACTGATGTGATGTGGTTTCCCTGTCTTTTTTACAAATATTTTCATGGCAACTGGTCTGATTTTTCCCCTCTAATGTCCTGACTACATGAATTTATGCTTGCTACTTGATTGGCAATTAAGTCTCACTATTTTACTGTTGAACCAGCTAGATGCAACTGCCACTTCTCCTCTAAGAGTTTCTTTTCTTGCACTTTATTCCTGTGGAACTTCCTTCCATTTACTTGCTTCCCTGATAACTACAATCTTCAAAAATTTAAATGCAACATCAATTGCCATCTTCTGTCTTTTTGAAGCCTTTTTTTTTTTTGTCTTTTCCTCATTACTCTCTATTCTCAGTTTTTGCATAGTCTTTCACTTTTATTCCTTGTAATGTTGTACATTCTAGTAGCATTATTGCCTCGCTTGGGGTGAAGCAAAAAAAAAAAAATAAAAGAACTAAATGCAAAACATTTTCATTTAATAGCTGAAGATTTTGGCTTCATAAAATCTACCTAAGATAAACTAGTTTAAATTATTTAAATTAATGGCTTAAGTTTTGTTCCAAACGGAAAATATTATGGATTAACCCAATGTTGAGGAAAAATCATAGAATGATTTTGTAATTCACATTCCTAAAATAAATACCAGCAGAAGGTTAGATATGTAAATTGGTTTACAGTTCAGAGATTATTGCAATCCTCAATAAGTGGTTAGGCATACCTAATTGAAAGGGAACATAGCCCCAACCAAAGAATTAATGGTTGAAGCCATGGAAAGGATTGTAAGACTCATTCAAGGAGGCAATCCACAATGGAACACAGTGAAAGATATTGGTTGTTTCCAGCCAAATGTGTTTAAAATTTGGTGCCAATATAAAAGAAATACGATGGTTAAAAAAAGGAAAACCTTCTTGTAGATAATGATAGACATCAAAGAGTCAGGATAGAAGACTCAAAGTAATATGCCTTGAAAATGCAAAATATACAACAAAACAAATGAAAAACAGAAATCAAATGTTTGTGTGAGAACTGTAAGAAATTGGTTGAATGAAATGTGATTTACTTACAAAAAAAAGCCACACAAAAAGCAGCACTAATCTAGAAAGAGAAGGAAATAACAATAAAGGAAGCTAAAGTGAAACAATGTCATGTGGATGAAATTGATATTCATTGATTAATGAAAAGAATCTGCATTGACCAAGATGATGATCCTAGAAGTTTTGACTGCCTGAAGAAAATAAGTCATTTTCCTAAATTATTCACAATCTGAGCTTTGCATATCATTTAAATGACCAGGGGGAAATGGAAATCAATCAGTGCATAATGTGTAAATGTTGAAATCCTGGATAATTTTCATATTTCATTTAGAGAATTGTTGTGATGATAATCGTCAATTTTTTAGGACAATAATGCATCTTATCACAGATCAAAAGGCATTAAATCTTTTCTTTGGGAAACATATAAAATCAATGCCATGACCAGTGTACATTCTGAATTTAAATCCACTTGAAAATTCATGGTGGAAATTAATAAAAAAAAATGGCTTATGAGAAGAGCCATAGAAGATCTATTTGGGAAATGTGGAACCAATTTGATGAAAAGTATTATTTTATATTAGTGAAATCCACATCTGATGAAATTAAAAATGTCATAAAAGTTCAAGGAGGGGGCAATTAAGTATTAATTCTAATTTTTTTGTCACTGAATTCCATACTCTCTTGTTCAATATTAGATTATTCTCTAATATTTTCCTCATCATAGCTTGGGCCAAAAATTATACCATTAATTCAAATAATCTAGTTTGTTTAAAATACATTTTATGAAGCTAGAATGTTCAGTGATTAAATAAGATGTTGTGTCTTATTTATTAGTTACTGTAAAATTTAAAAAAAAAAACACACACATTGAACTTTCTCTAAGTGTACTAATTCTATAATTTTTACCAAAGTTTCTATATTATGGAAATCTAATAAAGCCAATTTTCATTTCTGAAATGTATATGATAAAAATATCATTTAATGTAATGCTATATTTATGAATTAAAATGCTCAAAATCAAGGATAGAGCATATGTAGATATAAAAGTGGACATTGAGGTCAACATCAAGAAGTGACTGACAGTTTCATGCTTAAACCCAATCTTCAGGCCATGAAGATTGTTTTTATGCATGAAACACATTGTTGCTACTGGGTGTTGAAAGAAACAAAAAACATTGCTCTTTCCTTGATACCTAAATGCTATATATTTAATAAATGACTATCAAAATTTTCAACTCTACTAAGCTGTTTTAATTATGACAATTTTGTTTATATTCTTTTATAGCATAAGAAAATTTCTCAAGTAAGGAAACAACTTCATAGTACAGTAGAACAAAGGAAATGGGCAACTCCCATCCAGTGTTGGGTATCATTGCTTGTTGATAATATAAATACTTTAAACAGACAAAAGTATTCTATTGTTATAGCAGGTATTTAGTGGTGTGTGTGTGTGTATATATATATATATATATATATATATATATATATATATATATATATATATATAATATTGTGGGCTCTCCCATTGTATTCAATGTATGAGAGTCACGCAGCTCGGTTCCTGACAGCCCAACACCGCGCGCATATGAATTGATTATATTGGTGAAGGCTTTGTGCAAAACCAACCAGCCTTTTTGAAGGACCGAATACAGAGACTTGG